TAAACAACAACCAGGATACCGGTTGTACAACAAGATGTAGGATCTCGTGCCCCAGTGGCTTACTGGATAGCGTTTTGGCGTTTGAAGCAATGTGTATTGGGTTGGATTCTCGAAGGGGACAACATCAGTCACTGGAATGTGGGTACATTCATTTGACGGCTTCCGAATAGGTACAAACACACATCTTGGATTCCACTATTAGCCACCAAGTAGACTACAATGCAAATGGTCGAAATTCACTTAACGTATAAAGGAAACAGTTAAAGTCCTGATCATTTCATCTAACCGTTTAAGCAAATCAGCTAATTTGTCATATAGAGAAAAGACCGATTGAGCAGAGTAATATATTTCTTGTCAATTAGGTCTTCGTCTTCGGCTCTACGCTAATACATAGGTTCACAGTTCAATCAAAATGTCAATTAAGTGATGGTGGTTGGATTATTATCATTATTATTATTTGTCCTTTGGGTTCCTAATGGAACCTAGGGCTTCAGTAGCACGTCTCCAATGCTCTCTGTTCTCTGAAATCTTTTGAACCTGGTTCCGCGACAGCCTACAAGCTCTCATTTCCTCCTTGCACGATCTCCTCCATGTCACCCTACGACGCCCACCTCGTCGCTGCCCATCTAGGTTCCACTCGAGGGCCTGACGCGTGATGTCTTAGTGTATGCCCCAATTCAATCCATCTCCACTCTCTTCTGCATATTTGTTGAGCAATAGGTTCTTGGTTGATTCACTGCCAGAGTTCCTTGCTGCTTATTCTTTCTGGCCTTCTCTCATCTGATCTTCAGTATCGAGCGTAGGTAGCTGTTGATGAAAGTCTGTAGTTTGTTGGAAATGCTTTCCGTAACGCACCAAGTTTCTGAACCATCACACAGAAGCAGTGACTTGACGTTGGTGTTGAAAATCCACATGCTGAGTGCAGTAGATCTCCACCCTGGTTTCAGACTAATGAACGCCTGTCTTGCTGTGTTTCCGATCCTAACTTTGACCTCCTCGTCTGTGCCGCGCCTATAGTCGAGACGATGCTGCCTAGATAGGTGAAGGAGGCTACTTTAAGTTTCTTCCATTGATGGTGATTGGAGTTTGTTGTTGTTGGAGTTGTTAGTGTGGTATCTTCAACACCTCTGTCTTCTCTATGTTCACTTGAAGTCCCATCTTCGCTGCCCTGCCCTGCCCTGCCTCTTTTGTCAACTTGTTAGTTTTCGCGTGTAGATCGTCGAGTTTGTGCGACATTAGACATAAATCATCATCGATGAAATCCAAATTTTCTAGAGTCTTTTCATCGGTCAAACAGCGCATACCCATATTCTCACAGCTCCTCACGGTTTGCTGAATGATCCAGTCGACCGCAATCAGGAAGATCATGGATGATCGTAGACAGCAGCCTTGTCTTACTCCTGTCTCCTGTCTTCACTTCAAAGGCATCACTGAGCTTCCCATTGTGAATCACTTGGCACGTGGCGCCTTCATATATTTGTTGAATGAGGCTGATAAAGGTTTGTGGTATTCCGTAGTGTTGAAGCAGTTTCCAAATTACTTGTCGGTCGACGCTGTCAAAGGCCTTTTCAAAGTCGATGAAGTTGAGGCAGAGAGTTGAGTTGACTGCCATTCTATACTCTGTTCTATGATGATGCGTAGCGTTGCAATTTGGTCTGAACATGATTTGTTTTCCTTCAAACCTATCAGCCTGTTCCGGTCGTAGTTTTGAATCCAGTACATCCTTTAGTCTCTCCAGGATGATGCGGGTTAGTATTTTGCTTGCTTTGGGTGGACAGCAGCATGATTCCGTGCCAGTTCTTGCAAACACTGAGGTCGCCCTTCTTCGAGAGTTTGACAAGTTAGCCCCTCTTCCAACCAATGGGTAGGTACATTTACTTCCTTCCAGACTTTCTGCAATAGTGGTGTGAGCATGTCCGCTGTTGTCTCTGCATTTGTTCTCAGTGTTCTGGAGGGATTCCATCTGGTCCTGCTGCTTTACCGCATTTCAGTAGCTTCATGGCGCTCAGGACTTCCACTTTTGTTGGAGGATTTATGTTCACGTGTAGTTCTGTGGCTGGGCTACAGGTGGTATTTTTGAACGAGTTGCAGGTGATGGTGGTGGTCGATTCAAGAGCTTCTTGAAGTGGTCGGCCCATTGTTTCCTTTGTTTTTCTTCTTTGGCAATTAAATTTCCGTCATCATCTTTTATTGGTTTCGTCTGTGTTGATCGCTTCCCAGATAGTAACCTGGTTATTTGATACAATGTTGTCAGGTCTCCGTCTCTCCTACCAGCCGGCAGCCTGTTCTGCTTCACTTGCCAGTGTTTCGTAGAAGTGTCTTTTGTCTTTGCGTGTACTCTTCTTCACTCCTTCGTTCAGTGTAGTGTTTTATACATTGTGCTCAGTTCCTCATGTTGTTGAGCATCCATGCACTGGTTTATCTTCTGTTTCACCATTCTCTTCTCCTCTATCAGCTTCCATGTATCCGTCGAGATCCATTCCTTGTCTTCTTTCTTCTTCCTTCCTAATACTGTTGTGCAGGTTTCTTTCCACATCTCTTTCAAAGACTTCCAGTGTTCTTCTACACAGGTTTCTTCAGGGATGTTCCTCGGTATCTCCCATTTTGTCTTGATGGCTGACTGACGTGAAGATGTCTTTTGTAGTTTCGTCCTTCAGTTTCCGAGTGTTGTACTTGAATTGAGGTCTATCACCAGCTTCCTTGAAGGCTTTTAACCTGATTTGGAAGGTTCCTTGCACTAGATAGTGGTCTGAACCTACATCTGCTCCTCTTCTTGACCTTGTGTCAAGTAGGCTGACTGCGTCTCCATTTTCTTGAGATTGAGAAAAAGTCGATTTGATTTTTAGTGTATCCATCTGGTGAAATCCATGTCGCTTTGTGGATATCTTTGTGCTTGAACACAGTCCTTCGCCTCCAATCACCAAATCGTTGAATGCGCAGAATTCTGCAAACAATTCTCCATTCTCGTTCATCATCTCACCGAGAGCTTCTCGACCCATGGTTAGTTCTCTTCCTGTGTTGTCCCCTCCCAGTTTGGCATTTATGTCGCTCATTAGAATTTCGATATCGCCAACTGAGGTGGTGTCTTGTCCAGTGTTGATTGAAGTTGTCTGTAGAAATCCTCCTTTTTCTCTTGCTCTGCATTATTTGTAAGTGCATAGTGTTGCATTGTATGATTGTGACCTTTTTTCCTTTTGAGTTGAATCTTGCTGTCATGATCCTGATCGTGGAGGAGATTGGTTCCCACTGCATGAGAGAGAGCCTTCGATGCTCTTGAGGATATCATGATAACCACTCCAGAACTCAGTGTACTCGTGGTAGTCGTGTCGTCTGTGTGACAATATCGGAGTAGATTATTGACTCTGCAGTTGACAGTTTGGAGAGTCCACTTCCATTCCATCTGCTTTCGCAAATTCCAAGCACTTCAATGTGATACCTTCTCATGTCGTTTGCAATCTAGGCAGCCTTACCAGCCAGGTTCAAACATTGTGCGGACATTCCATGTCCTCACGTTTACTCTCGCTTTCATCGAGAGAGAGAAGACACATCTGCCCTGCTAATTGACTTCCCGAGGGCAGGCTTTCACCAACCGGTGTCATTTCGCCTCTCCGATTCCAAGGAGGAATAATTTTGTTTTTATTTTTATGTTTTGTTTGTGCTTTGAAGTTTTTTTAGCGGTTGGATTTGTTTTACGGTGTAGGGTTACTAGCCCTATGCCGAACCTTCCCTCTTTACCCGGGCTTAGGACCGGCTAGTAACTAATGAACTAGTTAACCAGGCGAGGTTTGGGAGTGGTGGGGTTGGTGAACAATAATTATAGATTTTAAGTAAACCATAAAGATGATACGTTTTAGAAATTAAGATGTAAATAATCAGTAGAGTAGCTAAAATTGGTAATAGGATGCAGGTTGTTCTTAAGTTAATGGAGTGCTTCTGGATGAGTGTTCAGTCATAAACAATAAGTGATTACGTAATAATAAGAAAACAAATGAATATTGATTGGAACAAGGGGGTGTGGGAGAGATGTACAAAGTAAACGTAGAAGTTACATCATGTTGACGCCCACGGTAATGAAAGTGGTCGGACGAACTTCTATTGAATACAAAGGTTAGGTTAGGTTTGTAAAGGTGGATTGCAATTGCCTCTGTTATGTGAGTGATCCAAGGGATATTTTAATTGGAATATGATTAATAATTTTGGATGTCCAGTGTCAACTAGGAGTGGAAGTATGGAGCCCTTTGTTGTTTTAATTTGTTCCTTGCTCAACCATAATGAGTGGTGCTCAGAAATTCGACGATGGGCCTGCCTCACTGTACGCCTAACGTAACTAGCTCCACAGGAGTAGTTGAATTGATAAATACACATGAAAGTGACAGATTCAGACAGTTTAGGTGGGATAAAACTTAGCAGTTGGAAATGCTTTTTTCAAGACTTTTTGTGCGTTGTATGATGATCTCACTGGGAATATCACTTATAAATCTCAGCTTCAAGAAGATTTACTTCTTAGGAATTGTTGACATTCTTGTCTTAACCTTCGTAACATTCATATGCTTAGTTATAAACTTTGATGAATAGCCATACCTACTATGCAGATCATGGATGGTGGGGAATTCTTCCTTTAAAGCATCATCTGAACAAATAGCTGTGATGTGGTATGCTAGGCATTTCACTAGGTTCCTTTTGTATTGAAAAGGGTATGGCACTAAAGGAGTGCGTGTATTTCATTCAACAGAAGCAGTCCATGTTGAACGAATTAACCAATCGTTGACTGGGGGGGGGAGGGGATGTTGCTTAAAAACCAGCTGGAAATGAGTGGTTGGGATCCATTCTAAGAGTGATCAGTCGTGGAAAGACAAAAAAAATGACACCAATATGCAATATATTCCATGTAAATATCCTTTTACAAGTGATTCAATGTTGTTAGTGGAAATGATAAAAGCTTCAATTTATTGTTGTTTGTCTGAAAATTTAAAGTATAGTTTTATTGTCTTTTTTTTTAGAACTTGTTCTAAGCGATTCAACCATCACATCGGATTCAATGACTATGGATAAACGTTATCAAGATCGTCGACGTCGTAATAATGAAGCCGTACGTCGATGTCGTGAAAATAAACGAGCACGTATGCTAGGACGTACAGAGACAACAGAAAAACTGCATAATGAAAATCGTTGTCTACGTAGTGAACTAAGTGGATTAAGTATGGAAGTGAAAGCTTTACGTAGACTACTTTCAGTCAGTGGAAAACAATCGAATACACCATCTGATGATAGTAGTAATACTAAAACCAAACAGAACACTAATAATGGGATTAGTATGGATTATTTCAGTGATGATGATAATGATGACATATCATCAGTGACGAGAAAACTATCAAAGAGGGTAAGAACAAAACTAGACTATCATAAGTCTAAAAATTGTTTCTCATTCTCATCATCACCGCTTCATCCACCACCACCACCACCACCACCACCCTCTTCATCACCACAACCATCAACAGTAACAATGATAAACAATTCAATTGTAGAGGCAAATTGTCCTTCAACATGTTACAATGATGATAACAAAGATAATCATTGTAGTATCACTCAAGATTATGCCAACAACACTGATGTTGATGATGAGATGAAAGTTATCAAAGAGAATGTGGACGATGATATTGAAATGCCCATATTAACTATGAATGTAAATAATACTTCTAGTGATGAATTACAAAGTAAACATGAAAAACATATCGATTATTTCAAGAATACATCATCCTCATCATCAAATTGTTTAGATGATCACCTCAGTAATAAAATCGAGCAACCATCATCACATGAGAAACATTCCAGTAATATTAATCCAACCGAGATGACCATTCCTGCTGAACAGTTAACCACTATGAATACCCTTGCTAGTACTACTAGTAGTAATGTCAGTAGTAAGAATGAATTAACACCAATAATTGATAAATGTCAATCAGAATTAATTGATCACAACGAAAATGTGCTTACTTCTAATCCTTCTATGAATACAAATGTCAATAGTAGTGAAGACAGTAATCAAACTGTTCTCATGGCAGCAACAGTAGCTGATGTATTGAATTGTGTACATAATGATACGAATAGTTCTAGTAATCTTGATGATAATATAAATAATAAGACAGATGATAATGAACAACCGCCACCTCTTGTTATTCTACGTGGACGTCGACGTACTACACTGAAATCATCAATTCCAAGTAATAAAACCTTGAGAAGTAATGATATTAATCATCACACAAATCATACTACTGACACAACAACTACTGATATTACTCTTACTAGTAGTAGTAGTGGTAATGTGAAGGATGATAATACAGTGAATACATCTCTCCTTTCTGGTATCCATCATACACATTCTGTTATATCACCATCTAATAATAATGAGAATAGTGCTCAGGATTCACATATACTGTCTGAGAAATCTATTTACTTTCAAATAAACAAAGAATATACGACAACACGAAATTCAGGGAAAGAAGATAGTATTTTAACTTAGGCATTTATTTGTTTCATTATTTACCGTATTTCTACTTACTACTACTAGTATGAAATGAGTAGTATTTTTTTTGGGTTTTTCTTCTTTTATGTTATCATTAATATTAATATTTATTACTGTTGTTATATATATTACTATTTTCCATTTTTAAACTGGTTTTTATACACACATTATAATTCCAAACTTATTCATTCCTATTACTTTCTGGAGTTTTTTTTCCCAGGTTTCGATTATCTACACACATCATTAGTCTGTCTATCTACTCATTTTATCTTCATTTTTTATTTATTCAATGAAGGGCATCATTTAAATTTCGCGTGTTTTGATACCTTTTTCTTCCTCCATCTTTTTATTGTCCTTTGTGTTCATATTGAACACATTGAACCAATTTATTTTTTTTTCACCACCTGTTGAATCATTGAATGGTATTCTTTTTTGAAAGATGATGCTGATTGGCTGAATAATTCAGTGAGAAATTAACAAAAGTATGCTGTCAGTTGAAACAATTTCTTCCTTGTTTGCTCTTTGAAAATTTCTTTCTTTGGTTCATTTCATCTTGATTCTTTCTTCGTCTTTACAATGTTTATCTATGGGATGTTCCAGTTGATGGTTTTGCTAGCTCATTATTGGTACTTTGAGCTTGTTTGTACACCTTACAGTTGAACAATTTATTCCCATCTCTTGATCCCTACTATTCTTAACAACAATGATGATAACAATAAACAGGTGATACTGCTATGGATAAAGTGTATTGACACATAACGATGAGTTGATTGACTAGTATTGCGACTACTACTACTACTACTTATACTACTGATGACGAAAATAAGTAGTAACTACCATCCGTTATTCTTATTCTTATAATATGTATTTTTACCCCGTGTATTATTGTTTTGTCTTTTGCGAAGAATGCAGATGGCAGACTGAACTAGTTGATGACAGATAGAAGCAATGTGTTCCAGAGAAAGAATAAAACACCGATGAACAAATTCGCTCATATCCCATGACATGTAGAGATAATTTACACAATAAATAAATATGAATATGTTATGAACCCCATGAGCAAGCAAGAATAGTAGCGTCTTAGTTTATGCTTCCCTTTTCTACGAAACGTATTGATCTTCTTTTTTCCCCCTGTTGTTTTTATCTTTCTAACAATATTGAAAGGTGTTCCTGCATTGTAGTTGACGTTGTTGCCAACGATCGGATATATGAATTACCTCAAATTCTAATGTATCAACGAAGTCATTTATGCACTATTCAATTGATTTGTTGCTTGTTCATTCTTTAACAACCTACTTTCATTCCTCATCATCTTTAAATCATTCTCTTTGTCATTTAAACATCTCCGTTTTATGCGTAGAGTGAATGGTACAGTTGAAAAGCCAGCAGCATTTTTGTTTTCTTTTCTTGTCTAGGTCTATCTGTAATAGCTGCTAAAATAGCAGATAAGCATATTTTTTATTGTGAAGAAAAGTGAAATTGTAATAATGAAGAAATAAGCGCCAGTTATGTTGTTCACCGCCTCTTTCTATGTATCTGTGTCTTTTTACATATAAAAATGTGTGTGTGTATGTGTGTTTTGATGTTTAGAATACTTTCAGGTATCCTCTCCGCTCTCCCCCCCCACCCCTCTTTATCTTCTTATCCTTAGTATTCACGTCTTGTCTACAGCTCTGTTACATCTGTAGGCCTTCATCTGAGAGTGTATACCAAAACATATTACTATTAGGTAATTATTAATGATTACCACTATTATTTTCTTAATTTTTATCTACTACTACTTATCAATAACGTGCTCATACATTCCTATGGGTTGTTTGCTTTCTCGAATTCCAAATGAACCCAACTACTGACACATAGACACACACACACACACATACACATCACAGAGTAGTAGGTCAATTTGAAAAGGAATTATGTATTTTTAGACTATTTGCACGATGTTTGTAATATCATAATTGATTGTTTGTGTTCCTATGTCCCCCTTCCTTCAGCTGCCCCGTCTATCATATGTACGTTTGCAGTAGCAAATAGAACGGGAACAATAACATCAATAACAAAGTTATTATGATATCATAAACTGTGCATTTTATCACCGGTGTTTTGTGATGCTGATAACGATGATTAGTCTTTATTCTGTGTATTCGTGTATCTATCTATCTATCTATCCTCTTTAACTATTTCTCATTCAATGTGCTCAACATCCCCCCTTTGTTTGTATCATTCCTGTTTTATTTCTTTTGTTATTATTGTTATTATTATTATTATTATCATTATTGAATAATAATAAAACTTTTCGTTTTTTATAATTCTCATTTTTTGAGGACTTACAAAAGTACACTAAATGTGTTGAGTCGATAAGACGTAGATTGTTCTAGAATTATTGTTGTTACTTATCGATTGACAACTAATAATGAAGCCATTCTACAAGAGAGGAAAACAAAAAAGAAGCCTAGAATGAATCGAAGTTTAGATAGCACATCAAAATGCGCTCACACTCAAACAACCTAACTTGAAAGTAGCTTTCAGTGGAGATAACCACTATCTAACACTACACACCTTATCATTAGTTCGAAACCAACTTGACAACCATGTGTACGTTTGTGCGGTGGATAATGAGCTAATAAGACTACCTACCCCCCCCCCCCGTTGATTTCTTTTACTGGAGCTGGATTCAAAATCACGAACCGGTCATTCATTAGAACTTAGATTCGTGGAATGATGATCAACTATGTGTAAAGAAAAGAAACTAGTCGATTGGTTCCAGTTATTATAGCCAGTGTCTTTCAATAGAATGGGTAAGGGTATGAAGGATATCACCAAGTCATTTCATTGTTTCTTTTCATAATGTCAACATGAAAGGAAAGAAATATGCATCTGTCTGAGTTATGAAAGTCGAAATGTGAGTTAACGAAGTGGACATGAGATTTTAGATGGACAGTCGCCAATAGTATGAATTTCTACCTAGGTAAACTGTTGGTTATCACCAATGTTCTCAATCAGGGGATCATGATTGTACTTGGAAAAGTGTTATGAATACTGAGAGTAGGAAAGGTAGGATTACTCATGTAGAGGTAGATAGATAGAGAGAGAGAGAGAGTAAGAAGTTATGAAAGTACCAAAAACATTTTGAATAGAAATTCATGACTACTGAGAAGTTGGTAGAAAAAGAAATTGAAGGTTCAAAAATCGATGATAGGAGGGGGATGATGGTGAATACGAGGGTTTTGAGGACTATAGCATTCCACTAGCTGAAAGTATACGGGTGCCTAGTATTTTCTGATTGTCTACACTGTAGAGAGATACTTCTTCTTAAAATTCTCATTGAAGACAGGATGATCTTATCAACGTATTAGTATGACCTCAAAGCTCAAATAGAAGTATTTGGTTGTGTTGCGCGTTCCTAATGGCAACAGAAGTATATGCAACAAGATGGTGTGATATTTATAGACTCAACCTTCTCTTGATTGCCAGCTACTTGGTTTGGGGGTTTCTGGGGATTTAATGCTGACTACAGGACTTGAAGGTCATGGGTTCGACCCCCTATCACGGTCAAGGGTGTCATGTTCTAGGACGAAGCAGCTGTCCAGTGCTCCCAGGTTTCCAGTGTCCCTACAACTGATGTTAGTTCATTATGAATGTCATTTGTTTGCGATGAGTATAACAACTAGATGAAGTTCAAATAGGAAATTTCAGCGTGGTTCGATTCTCAAACTGAAATTATCAGACTGTAAGGAATGATCTGTTTAGTACCATTAATAATGTTAAGATTATGAACTCTAAAGTTCTAGGATTCAGGTTTTTGGATGACATCAGCCTTAAGTAATCCTCTCCAAAGGAATGAAATGCTCTACTCACCCTGGGTTTGGTCAGCAAATACTTCTGAGGGATTTTCATCTTAATATGAAGTCGGTCGACAAGTAGATCCATTCCACATTGGCTTTCTACTTGTTGGCTCTCATTACAAATGTATATCTGCAACTATGAGGACACTGGTGTTCCCTCAGTGGTTCGAGGACGTATCAGTCAGTGTTGAAGTCACATCCTGTACCAATAAGCTAAGAAATCTAAGTCAAGTAAGACGCTTTGTCGATTAACTTCCAACATCTAGCACCAGAAGGCCGTATTGTTTCAATGAACTAACTGGTCACATCCCAAACTTTTTCCATCGCCTTTAATCAGAGCTGAATACTAAGGAATTCGGCTAGTTTAGGAATTGCTGTCGGCCGTGTCTGTCAGCAGTTCATTTCGTGTAAAGCCGATATATTGTTAATCAAAACAGCACATATTACAAACTGGAAATAAAGAATATACAAGTTCTCAGTTGGGTTGTATAAAGTCTTGTCATACTCAACATAGACAGTGGGAGCGTAGCTTTCTAGTCTGGACACGACTTCCAACCAGTGGCTTATGCGTTCAAACTCCACTCCACCTATTGAGGTTTGAACCCTAACCCTACTGGTCTGGCTTATTACCTAGTGTATGGGAACCCGTGTATCTTATCCAACCACTCGACTTTTGCATGACATGTTGGTGAACGCAAATAATATGCAACCCTTTTCAGAATCCTCACAGTTCAAGCTGAAAAATATTTAGAAGTTGTATTCATCATGGACTGACATCAGTTGGGGAGCCATTGAAAGTTTGGGATCACTGGACAGCTGTTTCGTCTTAGTATGGTGAATACTACTTGTAAATTTAAAAAAATCCCCATTCATCTCAAAAATACATTATAGTTCTCATTAGTGACTTGCTTCCAGATGGATATGAGGAAGCTCTAATGAGAAGCCATGTGGGGTCAACCAGTAGGAAGTGAAGTGGATGCTAACTGAAGACCTTGGGTGATAGTCGCGCTATGTCATGAATTGACAGAAGTTGGAAATTGTAAACCACTGGAAACCGACCCAGTGGCTGAGTGGTTAACGTGTTCGCCGTGAGACCTGAAGGTCCTGAGTTCGACCCCTGGCCGGGTCGTGGGTGCGTACTGCTGAAGAGTCCCATACTAGGACGAAACAGCTGTCTAGTACTCCCAGACTTTCAATGGTTCCCCAACTGATGTCAGTCCATGATGAATACTACTTCTAAATTAAAAATCCCCATTCATCTTGAAAAATATTTGTCATCATATCGAGGTAGTCAAGTCTCATAAGCACATGTATCAGGTGTTACAGTGTGTGTGAGAGAGAGTGAATAAGTAGTTGTATGCCTAGTTTGCATTGGTGAAACTTCCTCTGATTGCCGTACGATTGGTAGGTATCTCAGTCATTCCAACCTGTGATTTTTAACCACTATCTTTAAAAACGTCAAATGGAAAAGTACTGAGTCCTGCGGCATTATCTCGCCCTAATTCTGAGGCAACTTCTTCAAATTTGGTGAAACTCTTCTAGTTGATATCTACACCTAATTCAGGTTGCGGTTAGCTGTTAGGCGTCTGAAGCATGTATGTATGCCAGTTGATCGGGTGTATAAAGTTCTCCATCAGACGTTCCAGCCGCTTGAGCTGAGGTTTCCAGGTGCACATCCTTAAAGATGATATGTTATATCTTTGGGTTAGGGGTCTGATCTTAGTCTCGGGTTGGTTCTGCTGCATTGCACAGTTATATTGTATATAGCAAGATATAGAGAAAATGTACAAGGTCTTAAGAGCGTAAATGGCCTAATCGGAATTTCAATGAATGAGAACGGAGATAGACACACAAAGAGCATTCATAATTGATTGGTTGTTACTTCTACTTTTTCTGGCTAAAGATACATCAATATTTTCACTGGCTGTCGTATCTGACAAGCCCAAGTAGTTGTCTAGTTTTGCCGATCCTCACCACTGATCGCGATAGCTAAGACGACTTTTAGTCAGTGTACATTTAAGCTACTTTCAGTTCACTACATTATTTGACCCAGCTAAATTAAATATTGTCAGGTTAGGCTGAAGAGATCCAATGGCGCTTTAGAACTCTTGATTGTATAGTACTTATGGTCTTTACAACTTTTTCCGCATCATCAATAATTATATATGCCAGGCTTCATTTGGGTGAGAGTTACCACCATTTTCATACTAGTCTATTTAGTCTCTTACCTAAATAGAAACTTGATGCTCTCATTTTCGGTGATGACAAATAAACCTCCATAAGTGTCATGACCTTTTCTATTTCTTTTACAAGTGCATTCAATTGATCTCCAGTTCAGAAGCGTACTTCCCACCTCTAGGACTAATGCTATGTCTACGCCAGTATGTATACGCAAACCAGCTATGGAATCTTCGTCTCAAAAGCACAATACACATGTGTGGCCCAAGGTGATATATTTTTTGCCTGTTGCACTATTTTGCATAAAGTTCGGACGTTGAAGGTTCAATATGAGATTGGTAGGATTGTTTTGAGAGACTGCTGGCTATGATTGTAGGGTGATAATTAGAGGAAACTATAAGGAGCATAATGTTTTTGATGGGAAAAGGTAACACAGACAAGAGAGGTGGGAAAGGTGAAGAGAGTAAGTGATAATCAGGTGCATTTCACGTGTAATAGAATATGTCTAGACATTTGATACTTGCTAGCTATTTATACCATGATAGTTGATGTCTTTCTTTGAGATACTTGGAGAGCAAAGTGGATTTGTTTTGAGTGACTTCCCAGTTCAAGAAATATCCTCTTGAGGTTAGTAGTATATGAACTTCTTAGGAACTTGGAAATTTGTAGCTACGCCCATATTTAAATAACATTACTCTCTGTGATAGGTTAGGTGGAATTTACAGTTTCTAAATGCTAGTCTATTCCAACCCAACGTCCTGGAGTAGGGAGGAAGTGCAGCTGGAATGCTGCTAGCCCTAGAGAAATGCATACTTTGCTACCATCACTCTCTTGTCCAACTAGCAGTAGGATATCGCATAAGTTATGAAAGACGTCATGTATGATAGTAGCTGCTTTTAGTCGTAATCAACAGACCATGCTAGAATAACATGGTAGGACCTCAAATAACTATTTTTCCAGCTAATATAGGTCATTCATATATGTGGAGTGTACCATAACGTCAAAGTCACAGTTGTCGGTTCAGCATAATCTACCAAATTGGCTGAGAAGACATACCGCTTCCATTACAGGATGTCCGCTGTATATTAGGAATTGACAGGATTTGGAAGATAGAAATCACTGGATTGCAACATAGTGCTTATGCCGTAGCAGTGTACGTTCAGTTAGTAGTAACACATCACGAATTCATATGGTAGTCGGGAAAAACCCTTGGTGATTGAAGTAAAATATAAATCTTGTCAGCAGTCGGACCTCGTAGCTCTATTTGTAGAGCATCGGACTGGAAA